TTGCCTTCTGAGCAGTCATTTCCTTTTCATAGAGTCTGTCTCGAAGCTTGGCAGTGTCACAAACTCATACAATATAACACACGTTGTATGTTTGCACTCGTGCGCAGCAGCCAATCACGTTATGGAATGCTCCATGTTTCCCGTGCCTTGACCAATTTCGTTGTTCGGCAGACCTTCTCGGCCAAAGACAATTTGCCAACGGTCCAGCTACTGGCGCAGCGCACTCCCGCGTTTGTATATGTGCCCCGGTGGGGAAGAGCATGTCGCTGGCAGAATCACCGTGCGCAAAGAGAGCCAGAGTGCAGCAGTTGCAGCTGCTGTTGCAAGAAAACAGGCGTGAGCTGGCGCAGTGCCGGCAGCGTGTGGCGAGGTGGGCGGCCAAACGTGGTAATTTAGGCTTGACTTCAGCAGGACAAAAGGCAGTACTTGCTTGCTATTGCTTGTCAAACTACAACAGCGCCATTGCCACCAAGCTTGCGCAGCAACTCAGCGACTTGGAGAGATCTTCCCCCCCAGTTTCCGTCAGAACCATTGGTCCAATCTCTGTTTCGAGAGACAAACCTTGGAGAGCTCCTGCGGCTGCACAGTGACGATGATGATTGGACAAAAGCCAGAAATGTGGCCGTTCGCTTTGTGGCAGAGGTGAAGACGGTGGACTATGTCCACTCGCAAAACCGTCTCCATGGTGTCGCGCCAACTTCGGCTGAGGTTTTTGCGCATTTTGCGCAGACACGCTCGGGCGGTTTACCGGAGGTACTCCCAAGCCGCGACTATATCAAGAAGTGGGCTGCTGGTTGGCGAAAACGCTTTGGCATCCGAAGGGCGCCCTTGCCCATGGCCATTCCAGCAGATGCACCGAGCTTGCGGGCAAAGGTGCTTCGAGTGGTGTCAGTATAGGTGGTCAAACCGGTCAAACCAAGGGGCCAAAAATGGGACCGAAAAATGGACCTGAAACAAGGTCCGCCTTGTGAAAAAATTGTTTTCGGTTGCGAGGCAGCTTTGGGGACAGTTTTTGGCCCCGGATTCTTTTTTTGAGGGTGTGCTTTGAATTAGAATGAATGGCTCGGAGGTGAAATGCTTCTGGAAGATGCTGGCGTTTCAGCGTGGTCCAGAGGCTTGTGATGGTCGTGAGATTTTGTATCTCAATGTGGATGAAACAAGTGTGCCCTACACTGCACGACCTGCTATTGGTTGTGTGATCAACCGCAAGCAGTACAAGAGCTCCGGCCTCCCAGCCGTGCCCCACGCCAAAATCCAGCCTGCCGGCAGGCGAGGTACTTTTACGTACTGCGCTGTTATTGCTTCAAATACAGGAATTCAACCAGCACTACCCCACTTTCTTGTGAGCAATGGCACCAGGCTGAGCAGCAAGGTAGTGAAGGCCTTCAAGTGCTTGCCGAAGACCCAATTGCAAGTGCTTCGCCGGAAGAGTGCGTGGGTTACCAGTGATTTGATGATCGCAATCTTGCAAGAAGTGGCAAAAGCATTAGAACCGTTTTTGCATCAATTTAGGCCGGTATTGCTCTTGGACGGGGCGCCAGCTCACGTTTCAGAGGCAGTCATGCGTGCTGCAAGAAAGTTGAACATTTCGCTGGTATATATTCCATGTGGAGCAACTAGCCTGTGCCAGCCTTTGGACGTCTATGCGTTCTCCAGCTTCAAGCAATACCTCCGCCAGAAATACCACGAGCACAGGCAGACAGCCACTGATGGCTTGCCATCGACTTTAGCGTGGCTGTGGCAATTAGGCCAGGCGCCAAGGCAATTTTTTTGTTCCAAGTCTTGGGCCAAATGTTTCCGCGGAGTTGGGGCCAGTGGCAAAGCCAGCGACCTCCACTCTGTACTTGCCTCTTTCATGGAGCACCCTACATGTCTCCCTGCTTCATCCAAGCCAACGTCAGAGGACGTTCGGCTGATATGGCCGCAGAACCGTCGCATGAAATACGCATATGCGTGTTTGTATGATGGT